ATTGGCCTGATCCAACATTGACTTTTCTTGTGTTCTTATGACAATATGGGATTAGCTGGTCACCCCAAGATGATCAGGAATTTGGGGGGAGGGACATTGAATTGGCCTAATGATGTGCCCCTTTTCCTCCAGCTTCATACTATCTTGATGTTGATATGTTGCTTAAATAGGCCTCATCCCAAGGATTCTTCCGACCCTAACTAGGTTGCCAGAAATGTGCAGGTCAATAGGAGATAGGCAGGAAAACTTGACAAGCACTCTGAGGAATCTATTGATGAAGGAAGTTCACCGAGCTGGCCACTTATTGGCTATAGGGGGCACAAGGGGGTGGGTTTCCTTGAGGCTGAACAGCAGTCCCCTAAACCCTGGCTGCTGTACAGCATGAGGAGATGGCAGTGAGGCTTAGCATCTCTTGGCACAATTCTGTTCAGGAACAAGGCACAGAAGCATTAGCTGCAATGAGTTTGGAGCTGGGGGGGGGTCGCCCTTACACAGGCGGACTTCAGTGGCCTGGTTTTAGCTGACCGGCACAAGTTGAGGGAATGGAAATTAAATAAAACAAATAGTGTGCCGAGGAAGAGTTTTCAATCTGCTGTTGGCAGGGGGAATTGCCAATTTATTCTGCATCCAGTGCTATGTCTTCAAGGCTCAGAAGAGTGATTCAGCTCAGTACATGCTGAAAAGATGCAGAAAATTCAACTTGATTGTCTTTACACGTTGTGTATATCCCAGAGTGTTTTAGTGCATGGAAGAAAGAGAAAAACACTAAAACAAAGTTCAACGGGGGGGGGGGGAGAGAACATAGCCCTTGGGTCAAAGTATCTAACTGAACCATATTTATGTCCACTAATGTGGTCAATCCCTTTCTTATTCAGTTGCAGCATCCTGGATGGATATACTAAGCAGATCTGCTCAGAATAAGTCACATTACATTCAGTAGGGCTTACTCCCAGGAAAGGGTTCATAGGATTGCAGGCTAACTGATCTGGTTCTGTTTTCTTTCTTGTGATCCTGTGGAGCCCAGGTGCTCTTCCTATCCAAACAATAGCCACATTGATGTCAAGGCAAGTTATGCCAAGGTGGGACAAAGATGTTTTCTTCAGTGTATTTTCAGTCCCCCATTTTCACGCTAATTTCAGTCCTCTGGGGAGGTGGCCGTGAACCTAGTAATTATCTCAAACCAGTATGATCCGTCCTCCATTGTTCAGAAGACTTTGCAAGTTATAAGTGTAGGAAATATCCACCCCTGAAAATTATAAAATACCCAACAACCATTTGAAGGTGGGGATATGAAGGATGTAGACACACAGGGCCTGCCAGTCTGATCTTGATTTTAGGCCAGGTCTTGGAGGTTGTAATGTAAGATGACCGCAGAGTTAGATAGAAAAGAAAGGACTATGTGCAGCTGAGAGAAGGATGATTGTCCTTGAAAATGCTAGGGATTGTCTTGACTCTGCTTTTTCTGTGGTTGCTTCTGACCTCTGAATCGGAAGGCAAGTCTTCTGCTGCTATGTGTTCTATGAACAATCCCCTCCAGATCAAACACCAGCGTTATCAGCCAGGGGACCTGATCATTGGAGGAATCACTTCTCAGCTCTTCATGCCTTCCTACTCTTCATTTCTCTTCACTGAGAACCCCCAGGAAGTGATTACCGATGAACCTATGTAAGGAAATCATGGCATAATGGTATATCGATAGAATAATATTGAATGTGTACGTAAAGTGCAGCTGGCTTTTGGGGACCCTAGCTAGCTAGGGGTCTTCAAGGGAGGTGAGAAGCAGAGGTGGTTTGCCATTGCCGTCCTCTGCAGAGTCTTCCTTGGTGGTCTCCCTTCCAAGTATCAACCGTGCTTAGCTTCCAAAATTTGGCAAGATTGGGCTACACCATGCTGCCTTCCCTCCAACAATATTAAATAGCTGATTAAAAACAACCTGTGAGGGATCATACCTGTTATGTGCAAGCTCTGTTGCTTGTCCTTGTGTAGAAAGGACCAACATATCATTCTCTGCATTAGATATTAGTGTATTAATAGAAAAGAAAGGACCAACATATCATTCTCTGCGTTAAATATTTGTGTATTAATAGAAAAGAGAGGGACAGGGTTTTTGAAGATGTTTATGCATCTTGTGCCTCTTGCTTTAGCTTCATTCTGAAGAGCTACCAGCATGTCCTGTCCTTGGTGTTTGCTGTGAAGGAAATCAATGAGAGCCCCCAGATCTTACCCAACCACACTTTGGGGTTGCACATTTATGAAAGCTATTTCAATGCACGGATCACTTATCAGAATACTCTGAACCTTGCCTTTACTGAGAAGAAGACGGTCCTCAACTACAAATGTGACACTTGGAATAATCTGGTTGCCGTGATCGGGGGCCTGGACTCTGAGACCTCTCTCCACATGGCCACCATTTTAGGTATCTACAAGACTCCACAGGTACGCTCTGCATGCAGAAAGAGGCTGTTTCACAAGCCTGAATTACAACAAGCAAATTTTTATTTCTAGAAACTAGGTTGGGGATTGGAGTGAAAATGAAAGAATGAAAAAAGACAATACAGAACAGAGGAGGTTTGTTCACTTTACAAAGAGAATGTTGAGGCTCAAGATGAATGGTTTATCATGAAAGCAGTCCAAATTGCTCATGCTAGACTGTCACCCAGTCATAAGAATCATGAAATTACAATTGCATGGGTGCGGATTCCTTTATGGTCCTAGGTTTAGTTGCTTAAAGCAAGGAAGTGATTTGGAATGAGTAATGGACAGTGTGAGGAGGACAACACGACATATTGAAGTTGGGCCTCACGATGACCACTGGTTAGGGATCCCCTGGCTGTAAACTGCATAACTTTCTGAAGAACAACTCTAACCCATATGTGCCTGCCTTTGTGCACCAAGTTTCTTTCAAACAACTGTTAAAACAACTGTTCTCATTGTTGCTCTTGTTGTTTCAAGCGCCTTCCATAGTAGGAAACCCTAGGAATGGCTTTGCATCAAGATTATGTCTAGGTTCTAGATGATATTCTAAAACACAGGATCAGGTTGCAGAGTTGCTTTCATGGCATACGTGGATCCAGAAGGCTCCATATACTCCAGTCCTTGCATGAGCATGAAGGATTCTACATGTCTTTGACCAGTCACCTTTTCTCCTCCTGTTCTACCTACATTGTTTTGACATTAGACGTGGAAATAAGCCATGAATGCTACTCAGTTGGGAAGCAGTTGTAGCCTGATGGACCCATGAATTTCCTGAATGTGTGGGGACAGAGAGGGCGAGTGAGAGCGCTGCCCCTGCCCATACCTCCTCATGGTCATCTGTAGCAGCAACTGTGCAGAGGAAGTGCCCGCGTGAATCTTCCCTCCCCATGATCAGCAGCATTCCAAAACCAACATCACTGAACACAGGAGGGAAAGTTTGCACAGCCTCTTCCTCCACTCAGTCATCCTTGTGAATGACGAGGTGATTATGTGTGGAGGAAGGGAAGGCCGTATGATTATTTCTACTCTCCATTCTAATCTCCACGGGGCCTTATCCATTCACGCACACTGACCTTGTGATAGGCAGGTTTAGAATTTTCAGTGAAAAGAATGTTTTTCTACCTAAACATAATCATGTGTGAATTATGTGCCATCAAGTTGCTTCTGACTGATGATGGCCCTGTGAATTAAGGACACCCAAAATGTTCTGTGTTTAACAGGCTTACTCAGGTCTTGCAAACTGAAAGCTGCAGTTTCCTTTATTGAGTCAATCCATCTCATGTTGGGATGTCCTGTAATCTTGCTGCCTTCAACTTTTCCTAGCATTATTGTATGAGACCAAAGTATTTGTCATGAGTCAGCCAGAGCTCAGTGATAACAAGATCTGTTCAGGAGAAGAGGAGCCTCATGTAGCCAACCTTGAGTTAAGAGAAGCTGTCCAGCAGGAAAAGGAGTTGTAGGCTTGTCAGAACTCATAGCCAATAGCTGACACCCTCCAGACCTAATTCAGCAGGTGAACTTCAGTTAGCCATTTCCAGCCCACTCACCTACACCCTTAGAGTGCCACAGATGGAGGCTGAGAACAGAGCTGCAGACAAGACTAGATGGCAAAGTGCACACTTCCTGGCCTGATGCCAGCTGCTTGCTGATAATAATGATGAGTAGTTACAAAATTGCTTCTGAGCAACTGGTTGCAAGCATAGATGTGGGCCAACAGCCAAGAGAAACTGTTAGGCATGGATGCAACATGTACAATAGACAGTAAGTCACTGACTCTGCTTGCCTGACTACTGTACCTCTGACCTTGGGCTGAACCTCTCTTTTGCCTGACTTCTGTACCCCTGACCTTGGACTGAACCACTCTGCTTTGCCTGACTCCAGGACCACTGACCTTGGACCAAATGACTCTGTGTTGCCTGAATGCTGGCACCTGATACTCTGAGCCTGCAAGCCAGTATAGTGTGAGAGCCCCAGTTTAGTCATGTTTGCTTCTAGGGAGAACCAGCCAAGAGAGGCTGTTAGGCATGGGCACAACATGTACAATAGACATTAAGCCACTGACTCTGCTTGCCTGACTTCTGGACCCCTGACCTTGGACTGAATGACTGCTTTGCCTGATTTTTGGGCCTCTGACCTTGGGCCGAACAACTCTGTGTTACCTGACTTCTGGCACCTGATACTCTGGGCCTGCAAGCCAGTATAGTGTGAGAGCCCCAGTTTAGTCATTTTTGCTTCTAGGGAGAAGTCGGGCTTGGTCTCATCTATAACCCACTGATCTGTCCATGGCATCTGTAAAAGTCTCTTCCAACACCACATTTCAAAGGATTAAATTTTCTTCCTTTCATCTTTCTTCATTATCCAATTTTCACATCCCTACACAGGGATGGGGAATACCATAGAAAGAATTATTTTGATCATGGTCTACAGTGACACATTCTTAACTTGATTTTTTCCCAAGTTCCTTCAGGGCTGCCTTTCAAGGACTCAGTCTCCCTTCTGATTTTTGGATGCCATCTCCCTTTTGATTGTTCATTGAGTAGAAAATATTTATTTCAATTTCTTCATTGCCTACCTTAAAATTGTGTAATCCGTAGCCACTGAGGCATTGTGGGAGGCCAAGAGAAGGGGGGGGTAGGAGGAATGAGAAAAGGGTATATGTTGAAAGAAAAGTTTTAATGTTGAATATGTCAATATATCCAAATAATAAAATTTGTTTTTTTAAAAATAAATGTTTTAAATACATAATTAAAAATATATAAGCCTTTGTATCTTCTTGTTTAGGTCACTTATTGCTCATTTGACTCATTTGAGTGTGATAAAACTCTGGGCTCTTCTTTATACCGCATGGTCCCCAATGAAGCATATCAATATGCAGGACTTCTTCAGCTTCTGCTGCATTTTCATTGGAAGTGGGTTGGGCTTATTTCAACAGCTGATGATAAAGGAGAAAAGTTTGTGCGGACTTTGGAACACTTGTTTTCCCAGAATGGTATCTGTACTGCCTTTACTCAAAAAATACCAAACTCAAGTGTATATTTAGAAATGGATGACATGATAGGTCATTGGATGGACATGGTCGCATTGTTATCCAGTCCCAGTGTCAATATATATATTGTGAATGCTGACTCTCGAACTGCAATGCAAGTGCTGTGGTTTCTAGTACTGGACGTATTGCGAGGTTCGAAGCCTATTGAAAAGGTCTGGGTACTGACTTCCCACTGGGATTTCTCATCAGAGACATTTCACAGAGGACTGGACATAAAAATCTTCCACGGGGCCTTATCCATTGCATTTCATTGGAACGAGGTTGAGGGGTTTCAGAATTTCCTTCGGATCCTGAATCCCAGCTCTGAGGGTGATGGTTACGTCAAAATGTTCTGGCAACAGGCCTTTGACTGTTTATTTCCAGATAGTGATGATGTGAGTGATGGAAACAAGGAAAGATGCACTGGGGAAGAGAAGCTGGAGACTCTTCCTGGGCCTTTTTTTGAAATGAGCATGACCAGCCAAAGCTACAGCATTTACAATGCTGTGCATGCCGTGGCACAGTCTTTGCATTCTATGTATTCATCCAGCACTAAAAGCAAAACAATGGTGGAAGAAGACCATCAGGGGCCTTCAAAGCCAAGAGCTTTTGAGGTATGGACTGAAGTTTCCCATGGACTGAAGATCTCATGTTTGATTAACAGATTAATGTCTGAGGCCATGCAGAAACACTCCCATCTCCTCTACAAATGGTAGTAGCACTAGTCACAGACAGGGTTGCTAGGTCACCCCAGCTACCAGAGGGGGATTGGGGGTCAGGGTTGCCAGATTCAGGTTGGGAAATTCCTGGTGATTTAAGACTGGAGCCTTGGGAGGACAGGGACCTTAACAGGATATAATGCCATAGAGTCCACCCTCCAAAGCATCCATTTTCTCTGGAGAAACTGTAGTATGGAGATGAACTGTGATGCCAGGGATCCAAAGGTCCCTTCTGGAAGTTAGGATACCTCATCACAGGCATTTATAGGAATATCTACCAGGTACTGTGAACTTTCTGCAATGATGTGGCCTTTAGAGAACCAGAGACTGTCTATATGCAGTAGAATTATTAATTTGCAGACTAACCATTCTCCCTTGTGTTGGTTCCACCTCAACAAAGGAACTGATAGCAAACAACTCAGATGCAGTTTTGTACTCCAGAACCGTGATTTTGATATCGTTCATGAGATGGGCTATGAAAATGTCACTGCTGATGACCTTTCATGAGAATAAGAAATACCCCACTCCAGTTCAAAACAGAGTCATACTCTGCAAGGTGTCTGTAAATATTAAATCCAGAAGAGGGGTTGACGGGAAAGGGGCATGTGACAGGTAGAGAAATCTAGCTGAGCAGAAGAAGAGAGGATGGGAATGGCACTTGGAACGGAACAATTGGAGCTGTCTAACGGGAGTCAGGTTAGAATCGGGCAATTGGTATGTTGGGTCTCAAGTTAGGGGTTAGGGGGTTATCAAAAGGTCACCATAACAGGATAATGGAAAATAGGAAGGATTGGAACAATCATGACTTAGAGATGGTAACAGAATTAAAGGTTAGAGCAATGGATTATGTTTAATGTGTGATCAAGAATGTAACAGAGGGTTAAAATCTGCCTGGAAGCTCTTCATTTCTTGGCATACATGACCTGTTTGAAAGCTGACATCCTACAACAACTTTGTTAATATTTACCTTTGTTTATATGTTTTTAATGAATAAAAAATATTCTTGTTCAGTTCTAAAAAGCAAATTGTCTTGTCAGTTAACCTCATGATCCCTGAATTATTGATCCAAGTGTGGGCGGGTTTATACACAGGCCTGGATTCCTTCCCCTGGAACATTTGTAATTCCCACTGGGAACCCCAGGGGTGTAGCGTAGGTAGGAAATAATGATGGGAGAAATCCTGTGAGGTGGCAGATCACCTCCAGGATGGTATCGTAGGCATTTGGAAAGGTAGCTTGTAGCTTGTATTTTATGTCTGTCCCTCTCTCTAAGAAACCATGGAAAGTATGTATATCATGGGTTAGAGATCATATGACTTCCACCCCTGGCTTCCTTTGACAGAGAGGCTTGGAATGAGGGGGCCATTTCCATATCTTCGTTTTCAAGAAAAACAAGAGCCCTAGCTCCAAGAAACAGCCAACCTCCATCCTAATACAAAGAATCAGAGAGAACATACTCTTTCCTCTTGCTTCACTTTCCTATAATTTGCCTTAATTTCCCTTCATCCTAGCTTCATTCTTTTCTGAGGAGCATCTCATTTAACAACAGTGCCGGGGACGAGGTGACCTTCAATGAGAATGGTGAATCGAAGGGTGGATTTGATATTATCAACTGGATTACTTTCCCAAATAAATCCTTTCTGAGAGAGAAAGTAGGGAAAATGGATCCCCAAGCTCCACAAGGCAGTCAGTTCTCCATTAATGAGACCCTCATTCAATGGCACAACAGATTTAACCAGGTAAGATCTGGACTGTGAGCTCCAGGGTCCATGTCTAAATGGGAAAATGCTTTCATAATCCCTTTCGTACTGCTGTATGTATTACGCTAAGCAGAACTGATCTAGTCTGTGTTCTTTAATACGGCTGCGGGCACACAGGCAGGAAAATACGGGAGGGAAGCGTGGCTGTTTGCCCCGGGGCTAAAAACCGCGCGGTTGCTCAAGCAGACCTACCGTGGAGGTCCCATGGAGGTCCCACGGTAGGGGGGAGATGCCAGTCACTCCACAAAGAAGCGGGGCGCGGGTCAAACGAGGTTGGGTTTTTAAAAAAACTCAAATGTGCGCATGCTCCTTTGGGTGCTTGTGCGCATCCATGGAGACTTTGGAAAAAAACACCTTTTTGCGAGGGGACATGGGCAGGCACCGGAACTACCACCCAAAACGCGATCAGATGCCCGCCCTTGCCCCGCGGTTTCAGGAAACTAGTACCTCCGAGGTACTAGTTTTTTACCGCGCATCTTCCGTGGGAAGCCTCGGGTTCGCCACGGGAGCTCGATGCTTCCCAGATGTGGCGGTGAGATCGCGCCTGGAAAATCCGCCTATCTTCCATCCCTCTAATGCTCTGTGTGACCGTGCCTAATGCTCCGTGTCACCATAGCCTAAGTTCAGTTTCCATGCTTGAAACACCACAATTCTTGAATGGGGGTTGCTTAAGCCAACCAAGCATTAACTTTGCAGCTGGGGATACTCCTTCAGTCCTGAGTAGTGTCAGCTGGGGGGAAGGACGGATGAAGTTTGCAGCCTCTCTGCACAGTTCTTATATGCAGGCTACAGTTTTAAAAGAAGGTTTAATATTGGCTGTATTGGGAGTCAGGGTAGATGTCCCAAGATGCTCGAAGCCAGTCGAAGCTTCCCATTATTCTATGATAGAAGAGGCGAGCATCATTATTATTGCAAATTAGCTTCAGTGAAACCTAGTTTAAACCATACGTGGGCATCATGGCTGCCTTCTGGATAGGATTGTCAACCCTAGAAATGAAATGCATGTTTCATCTCTCTTTTCACGGACAGGTTGTGCCCCTTGCTTTGTGTAATGACAACTGCCCTCCAGGCTACAGCAGACAAATTAAGGAAGGAGAGCCTTTCTGTTGCTATGATTGTAAGCCATGTCCAGAAGGGAAGATTTCAGAGAAAGAGGGTAAGAGACTTCGCATTACAAAGCATAGTGAGGCCATGGATGTGGCCATAGATAGGGATAAAGAGTAGCTGTAAGCTGCTCAGGGACCCCTTGGGGGGTTCGAGCGGGATACAAGCTGAAAGCATAAATAAATAAATAAATAAATGGAATTCTGCGGTTTGCAAACAAAACAAAACCAACAAAGCAAAACACCTCCCACACCCAAAACACATTTTTGTTTAAGAGAAAAGTTGAGACTCGGACCAATTTATTAAGGTTCCAAAACCATTCATTTTCTGACCTGGTTTTCCAAAATGGACTGTTTTGATCGTATTACTTCATGATCTACTCCCATGCATTCTTTCCCTGTACAACAAGTAGGGTATGCCTGTTGGTTCTTCCAGACATCTCAGAAACTTTCAGGTCTTTAAAACACAGTCTCCTTTGGGACCACCGGGCTAGATGAAGGATGGGAAATTCATTTTACAGAGGGGGGGGGTTCTGGAAGGCAGTGATGGCAAGTTACTGCTTCAGCAAGTGGTCCCTGGTTTATAGTTCCTCAGTGGGTTGACTTTACCCTCCTTGCCTCTTTGCAGATAAGTCTCAGAAGGGGACTCTCAGGGACTGCTGCTCCAACACACCAGTGTTGGTGAGAGTAGTATCATTTTTATTCAGTTTATAACCAGCTGAAATCTCTGTATCAAAACTACAGTAATATTATAGATGCCACCATACACAGAAGTTTAAATATTTGATTATCTTGTCTATAACATTTATGTTTAAAACCCACAATTCTAAAAGCGCTCAAATAAGATCTAGAATGATTTACAGCATAATTGAATCACATATATCCTCAAAAGCTCACATGACCTCTAATTTACTTCTGGACTTTATATTTGCAAATTTTATGGAATACAGCTAAAAATTTAACACAATTCAATATGAACTGTAGATTAGGATCAAATAATAGTTTCTGGGTTACTTCCACATCTGAAAATCCATAAAACCTCTCCAATATAGGGTGGATGATCTTTACTCTGCTGTCTTCATAATACCTACAATGTAGTATTACATGTTCGATCGATTCTATGTTCCCTGCACCGCAGGTGTAGAGCCACTCTGCCAGTGCTACCTTTTTATACCAGCTTTCTGTTACCATTGATGGGAAGATATTGCATCTGGCCATAGAGAAAGCCCTGTGGTGTGATGGAACCCCTAGAAGTGTTAAATATGTTGCAGAGGCTACTGTATATTTCATTTTCTGTGGGGCCAGATAAGATGGGGCCTTTGCAATGTCATTCTGCCTTTCTATATTATATACCCTTGTTTAACCATAACCCTAGGCTTTTCTATAGGCATTATTTGCAGGGACCCAAGTAAAGATATCCTCTGACTGATTGCCTTAAACCAAGTTGAGCAATGAATGTCTCTAAGGATTAGGGTGGTAGTGTCTGAGGGATTATAGCAAAGCCCCAGCCAGGTGTAAATGGAGGCCAGAATTGTCCTAGCCTCTAGTCTAATCAGTCCGGTTTCTAGGCATAGGCTGTACCATTGTTGGTGTTAGAGAGGTCTGTCTAGTTTACTATATTATGTAACAGAAGGGATAAGCTGGGAAAGCCAAAAAAACACTAGGAAACAGCTAATACCTACATGTCTATGGAAAATTTCAAGATGCTACAGCTGAGCAGTTCATTCTACTTTTGCCTCCCCCCGCCTTGAATTTTGGCCAGATTCTACCATACGTGGAGTGTCTGAGCAAAATGCCGGACTGAGAGGTCAAATCGTTTTAATGATGAACAGGATGTTTAGGTATTGTAAGGGAGCATGATGAAAAACTTCTATTGCGTTTGGATGATTGTGGTAATTTGTTGTAAATCTCCATTTACAACTTGGTGAGTAGCTTTATGAGTATAGTAATATAAGGAAACAAAAGACCAATACGAAGTCACAGCACTTCCCCATACGGGGGAGGGGGAGAAACAGACATAAATATCCTACTCTCTCACCAAAAATAGATCTATCCACAATTCCTACTTTGACAACTGTGTCACAGATCATTTAATCCTTTTTCAATAAACAGATAGAACATAAATCTGAATTGTGGAAAACATTCCTATATCATCACAGAAGTCCAAAAGTACCTTAATGTATATTTTATAACCTAAATGTCTCCATCACCTCCATTTGGTACCACACAGCAGATTTCAGAATGTGGAAGGTTTGGAAGAACTAACAAAGAATATTTTTGTTTCATTTCATTTCTTTCTTTTTTATCCTAAGATATGGATAGTTGTTTCCAGTGCCCAGAAGATCAGTATCCAAATGAAGATAAAAATGGATGTCATCCTAAGATTATAACCTTCCTGTCTTATAATGAACCTTTGGGCATCAGTTTGGCTGTTTTGTCTCTATCTCTGTCTCTGACCACAACTGTGGTGCTTGGAATCTTCCTTAAGTACAACAACACTCCCATTGTCCAAGCCAATAACCGGAAACTCACCTATTCTCTGCTCATCTCTCTCCTGCTCTGCTTCCTTTGCTCCTTGCTATTCATTGGCCGGCCTGAGAGACTCTCCTGTCAGTTACGCCAAGCTGCTTTTAGTATCATCTTCACGGTGGCTGTTTCTTCTGTGTTGGCCAAAACCATCACAGTAGTTTGGGCTTTCATGACCACCAAGCCAAAATCCAAGATGAGGAAATGGATGGGGAAACGGTTTGCGAACTCTGTTGTTTTCCTCTGTTTATTCATCCAAGCAAGTATTTGTGCAGCATGGTTTTGTAATGACTCTCCATTCCCTGATGTTGATATGCATTCTATGACTGGAGAGATCATACTGGAATGCAACGAAGGGTCTACCAACATGTTCTTCTATACTCTGGGGTACATGGGATTTTTGGCTCTTGTAAGCCTTGTCGTAGCTTACTTTGGTAGAAAGTTGCCCGATGCTTTCAATGAAGCCAGATTTATCACTTTCAGCATGCTGGTGTTTTGCAGTGTATGGATGTCCTTTGTTCCAACTTATCTGAGCACCAAAGGAAAATACATGGATGCAGTGGAGATCTTCTCCATCTTGGCCTCCAGCGCTGGCTTACTGGGCTGCATCTTTTTGCCCAAATGCTATGTCATGATCCTGAGACCTGAGCTGAACAACAGGGAACAGCTAATACGGAAAAAAGTATTGAAATAGCTGCTGAATGTAGTGCAATCCTAAATAAAGTTATGCTCTAATAAGCCTATCCATTTCAATGGACTTAAAAGATTGTAAATATGCTTAGGAGTGTTTTCTATCTTGTTGCTGTGTTTTATCTGAAAAATATATGGAATAAATCATTCTTAAATCAGTCTTTATGGTTTCTAAAGTTACCCAAAACTCTCAAAGG